AGTCTACTACGAAATGAAAACGAAATTATAATCACGGCAGTTTCGCTTATGAATACTAAATGCCCGAGGATCTCCGAGAAAATCAATAAAAACTTTAATATCTTCGTTTGTATTTAAATGAAGACGTTATTAGAAGAAATCGTCGTCAGTTCGTGATTTTCCATTTGTCGTTTTAAAATATGGGTACATTAAATATTCGATAAAGTATTTATTGCTTAAATATCCGATGAAAATATAAAAATATAAAATTTAAATATAAATTAACTTAGAATATAGAGGAGGTCTGTACTAAAATTTCTTCGATTGGTATAGAAAACTTACGCATAGTTTACTTATTATTTACATTATAACAGTTTGAAATTTTACTTTAAATTCCAAGTAAATAAACTCACAGGCAAAAAAACGGCCACTAAAAACTAGTCCCAATTTCAGAGTTGGATTTCTCGCGAACCACTCATTAGATTTTGATGTTTTTTTTTTAAATAGTAAATTAATTCCTTCTTAACGGATGCTACGTCAGAAATTTTTATTCCGAATTTATTTTGAGCATATACAGGGCACAATTAAAAAGGTTTAAGTCTTTTTAATGACGTAAATCATTAATAATAAACCATTAATCTAATGATTTTAAGTCAGATTTTTATGATAAATTTTTAACAGCAGCGTCGCACGGTGGGGTATTAGAATGAAAAAGGTGATCGAAATTCGAAAAAGCAAATGGGTTTAAGATTTCCCAAAAAAAGATAAATGATAAGTTAAATCATGTCTGCAATGAATGGCGTTGCTATGGGTGTGTTTAGTTGCATTCATCTGTTTCAACGAAACGTCAAAGTTGCTACTTCTCACAGATAAGAGGTAAATGGCTAAATTTTATGTTTAAAATAATAAATTGTTGTTGTTCTTGTGCTCTTTTTACGTTTATATTGTTGTTTTGATTGAAAATGACTCAGCAAGCTGCAGGTATGTATTCTACAAAAACATATTATTTAATTTGATATTCTCTATACTAACGATTTTTTTTGCAACTAAAAGTTAGGCGTTCAGAAAATTTGGTTAAATTTGTAACATTTTTATTATACTTAGAGATTTAGTTGCGTATTTTGAAGAATTCAGCATATTGTCTATATACGTTTTACTTAGTAAACATTCGGCTTCCATACAGTACAATAAAATATTGCGACTTTTTGCGACTTTGCTGATAAAATAAGAAAAACATTCTTGGTTTCCTCTAATTTGCAAATCAGTGATATACTAATGCGAGGTGTAAACCGCGATGGCATTGTTGTGTACAAAGCGATCGCATCAGTGCCATTAGCAGTATAGCACAATTTGGCATTAGTAGCGGCTTTAGTGGTATGGGCATTGGTCGCGGATCAGTCGTAGCATTAGTAGTATTAGTTGCGATATTACTACTGGCATTAGTGGCATTGATGGTGGAAACACTGGAACAGTGATTTTTCTTCCTTTTTTTAGAATCGACGAATTATCCTTTATTTTGTTCATATTATTTTCTTTTTAATTGAAAATATCAATAATTTATATAAGGTCTACCTAAAAAAAATTTCGATCAACTTTCGGCAGCCAAGCAACAGAATAAAAAACAATGTTCAATACCACTAGTAAATAAAATGTTAATTTTTCGGAACCTGTTTTCATTATTTCTCGTGTTACGCATGCGTAGTGAGTCTGTTGTCTTTCAAGTGAATCCCCGGCTCCGTTATGTAGCCCAAGGATGAACGAAAGAAATTTATCTCGAATATATTGAAGAATACCTCAAAATCCTCCAGCCCTTAGCTTATGCCATCAATATATTACATAGTGATCAAAACACATCATTACTTTTTAATAAACATATATTCGATGACATCTATCTGTAAAGGATACATATAAAGTACTACAAAAGCGGTTAAATTTTATAAAAAAAAAACATATTTTTGCGTTTTTAGTTGTTCTCAAAATGAATCGAAAAATTCTTAAGGTAGGATGGTAAATTCTCAAGACAAATCGAGTAATTTTCATGATGAGACACGAAATTCTCAAGGTGATAGCTAAATTCGCAATTATAGTCGGTAATTATCAAGGCATTCGACAAATTTTCATATAATAGGTGAATTATCGAGTCAGTAGGCAAATTCTCAAGGTAGGTAAACAAATTCTCAAGACAAAACCACAAATTATCATGGTAAAACAACAAATTCTCAAGGTGATAGGGAAATTCTCAAGAAAACCAGCAATTTCAATTAAAGCAAGCAAGTAAAATTCTCAAAGTAATCGGCAATTTTCCAACAAAATCGGTGAATTCTGAAGTCAATAGACACAATAAGTTAATAAAGGTTCTCAAGATAAATCGACAAATTTTTAAATCAAGTCAACAAATTCTTAACATAATCGGCAAATTCTCAAAACGACCAGCAATTTTTTAAGATATTCGGCAAATTCTCAAAGTAAGTCAGCAAATTCTGAAGGTAATCGATAAATTTACAATTATAATCTGTGAATTCTCAAGGTAATCGGCAATTCGTATTTACTTAAACTCCATTTTAAGCACCTAACTTTTCTTTGTGAACACACACTACATAACTTTACAGCTTATGAGACACGTTTTGTGTTTTTGTGTTTCTTTATATCAGCATTTAAAAGAAAATATTAATTTGAGAAAAGTTATTTAGCTTTTCAGGTTTATGTATATTTATTTTCACTAACAGAACAATATTTTAAATATACAGGGTCGCTGATATCTATGAGAACCATGAATTATTAGGTAAAATATACGAGGTACCGCAAAAAGTTAAATATAAAAGCTTTAGGGTTTTTAAATGTCTATTGGCCAGTAATAAAATTAAGTATACAAGGTCGGTCATAAAGGCGTGGCACATCAAAGTTTCATTTTTTTTAAATGGAACCCCCCGTATATTATTGCATATTTTAATTCTTCCTTCAAGCTTAAAAAATAAAAAGAGCATGTGTTTTTTCAACTCTGCTAAAAAGACAGTTATAAAAATTTTAATGCATCATTCATTCTATTATATCTCTATACAAGGGAAATAAATAATATCCGTATTATAATGGAGATCCGATTCTATGAATATAAATCACGAGAAAAGCACATAGAAAAGTTTTCCGAAAGAGGAAAAACATTTTCCTGTACCCTCTTTTGCCCGCTTTCTGAAATTTAATATGGAAAAAATGGAAAATGACAAGACGGAATATCTAATTCGATGGAACGAAGGGAAGTATTAGGGTTTTAAGAATACAAATTGGAGATATGATAGGATAATTGTAATATGCCTGAAACAGGGGCGCAACCTCGTAACTTTGTGGTTTTTTTAAGGGTTTATATAAAGACCAAGATTGGCCCGAGACGTAGAGAACATTGAGAGTAAAGTGTTTTGGTGTGTTGTGGCGAATTAGTGTTTTATTTTGCCATTTATCCTACGAGTAGAAACGAAAAGTTATTATAGTTATAAAAAAATGCATTTAAAAATGAAAAAAAAGCGTGGAAAGTGATAAATATTTTTGTGTATACAATGTATTTTCTGAGATATAATATGTATTTTCTGAGGCATCGCGAAGATTTTAGATGGTTGTAGTTAAGTCGTGTAATTAAATTAAATTCTTTAAGTGACATATTCAAAAGTCAATAACTCGGAAACGGTTGGTTTGAGGTACATTGTTTATTTCGATTTTTTTTGAGCAAGGCAAGCTTTAAGCAACGCAAGTGTTTTTTATGGTTTAACACAATTATAATAATATTCTGTTTTGACTTTGTGTCTAGTCGTCTTTATAGTCTTAAGAGTCCATTTCGCTAGTCCGAAAAAGTAGCAAAATAATAAGCGTTCGGCATTTACCGTTTTATGTAAAACTGGCGAGGTATTTTTACACAAATGAAGAAGGAAATTAAAGATAAAGGATTATACTATCCGTATTGTAGCGCATTTTTAGACAACTTCTTAATTTTTAAAATTTTGATGGTCAAACATCAACAAAATACTCCTTATGTTTGGACTAAATTTTCTCGAAAATAAAGAAATAATTTAAAATTCCGTTTCAATACGGAAATAGATTGAAGTTTTGTGATTACAATGATATTCAATTAATATCTATATGTACTTGATATGTGCTATACGTCGATACTAGTTTTGTACCTTTTGTTAACATTTTAATACATTTTTTTCGTAATTAATTAGGATGATACACCATAGGCGTAGTCAAAACAATTATCAAAAAATATAAATATTGCTTCAAACAGCTAGGTTAAGAAAAATATGTGCTACGGCACTGTTTGATGGCATCGTCACAATTTGCTCTCGGGTGTTATTTGTCCTTGGATTCTTTAGTCATTGGAAAACAATTTGTGAAATAATTGGAGTAGCCGAATGTGCCCGATAGCCGAAAGTGCCCCCCTTTCCCCTACAGCGTAATAGACTCTTAATGGTTATAATTATAAAAAAATAATAAAAAAATCAAAACTTTAATTTAATTATTTCTAGAATATAAGGTTTCATTAATGGTTATTTTTAGTTACATCATTTTAATACTATTACCTTTGCTATTACTCTAGTTTTGTAAAAATTTCAAAAATAAATAAAAATTGTACTTACGTCGACATCTGCCAGTATGTCGGTCCAACTTTTACAGAAAACTGTAAAACGATATTTAATATAGTATAGAACATGTTCTAATAGAGGGCACTGATTAAATTATAGAGACATCTATAGGCTTTTGTCAAAGGGATCAATTATTTTTAATATTTTTTCTCAGCAATAGATGGCGACAATCATTTAGCACCATTTGTTGACAAAATATTTATTACAAAATCTTCTTCTTTATATTTTTGAGGAAACTATGAAAAGAAATTATAAATAAAAAATATTGAATTATTATAAAAATTGAACAAAATCAAGTTTCTTAAACAGTAGTAGAAAAGTCATGTTTGAGTCAAAAAAAATTAGAATAACTTCAATAACAATGTGTGGAGAGTGTGGAGGTAAATAAATACATACTTATAAAATATTTATTTATCAACAAAACAGTATAATAAAGTATACATTTCTGTATCGGTATCTATACATTCGAAATAATTATTGTTTTTAAAACATTTTTTGCTATTAAAATAAAAGTACATTTAAAGAACATACATAAAGAAGAACAAAACTATTTTAATATACATAATATCTTAAATCTTTCTAAAGGTCAATAGGAAAAAAAATAAAAAATAAACCAAAAATTAAATAGAAATGAAATACAAGTATATATAAAAAGTAAATTAAAGTCCTAAGCAGACTCAGTTTCAAGAAAGCCTGAACAATAATAAATTTCAACGTCACGCAACATATTTGTAAACAACGTAATCAGCTTTTCATTAATCAAATTATCCCTGTATTCTTCCCAGTCCAGTTTTTGAAATGCCACGTAATAGAAAGCGTTGTTGCCATACTTCCTGTTTATCTTCGAAAACTCGAAAAGACACTTTGAAAACCCCTTGAAATCGAACAAATCTTTGGTAGTCTTGCGCACTACACACCCGCAAAACAGATAGTTCTTCACTTTTTCTTCATAGAAAATGAAATCACCCACACTCTTTACTCTTTTGGCGTTAAAACTAGGCATCAGTGTGTCAAATTTTTTTGACAATGCCAACAAGGTGTCGTCCCTATCGCCTTGTTCGGTGGTGAAATAAAATATGGCAGTACCTTCGTCAATTTTCGAGATGTGTTCGGCGTAAGGAACAAGTTTGCATGGATAGTACTTCTTGGGAGGGGGTGTGTCTTCCAGCTGACCAAAAAGAGAATAAAAGTGTTTTTTTATATAGAAATGGCAACGGGAAGCTTCTAGCGAGATTTTTTTTTCCGATTGTCCTTTTTCGGAGCCTTAGTAGTGACGAGCTTTTTCTTTGTCTGACCGTGATTCTAAAAATTAAAAAAAAAATCTCGATAAAAGCCCCTTTTTTCAAAATTGGCTTGACATTATTTTTCTTGTAGTTATTTTCATAAAATACCGAACGAAAAAACAAAAAGATTGTGATAAAAAACCAGGGTAGTCTGAAAAGTTTGCATCCTCACCGTGTCTACTCTGTTTTTTTTTCACAAGTAAGATTTCGACAGACGATGACAGAAAAAAGACAGATGACGTCCATACCAAACCATTTGTTTCACTATAAAAAGTTTCTAATATTTTTTAAGTTAACTATGGATGGGTTTATGCATAAATCCAGTCTTATTGGTTTATTTCAAAAATGACAGATCATATTTCAATATTATTGGAGTGACGGAACGATGAACAATCGCACGGATGCAGATGCGTATGAACTGGTCTTAAGATTTTTGAGACTTATACAACCAGATAACCACCAATCAACTGACCTGTTCCAAACACTATACCCCCACTACACACAAGCTATTAATCTGAACATCGCAAATCTATCACTTGCAAAATTTTATTTTTCACATCATAATAATTTAGACAAAGGCAAATAAAATAAAAAATAAATAATTATAGAAATTAAAATAGAATTTTCAAACAAAATGTTTTAAACTACATTTCAGACCACCCTTGTGGATTTTTGTGGATAAATATAACGCCAGAAAAGACAGGTTTGTTCTGGTTATTGATGCTGTCAGAAAATCACAGGCAATACTTACTTGCTGGAAGTTACACACTTGGATTTGAAATTCTTCCACATCTTTAAACAATAATTCCAGCATTGCTTTAACCCTATCCCATTCTAAACGGTCTAGCCCACAACCTATCCTAGGTATAGCCAATTTTTTAACCTAAAAAAATATTATTTATTTGCTATTGAGTCTCCTCAAAAAATATCCATAATTTTGTATTACATTGCCACATTAAAAATCAAGAAGTTTCTTAGACTAAACTTGAAATACTTCAGAAACAAAGAAAAGAATAAGTAAATCTTAAATTATCAAAAGAATAAAAAGGCATTTAAAGGACCAATTTTACCTCATGTTCCTTTATGTGATCTCTCATTTTGCACAATGATTTCCACAAAGTGTAATAGGTAGGTTTAAGGTTTGACTCCCTTTTTGTCACTAAATAATAGACAAATCTTTGGTTCTTTGAATCTTCTAGAACTGCTAGACCACCCTGTTTAGGCCTCTGTTGCATCAGGTCATCGACTTTTTTGAATTGTTGCCTAAGAATTGTTAAAAATAAAAAAAGTGATTTCTAGTATATTTATATTGTCATGAAAACTCCAAAAGATATTTTTGTAGGGTTTGGAGCAATACTTACTTAAATTCAACTGCAATACCACTGCCCATTCTAAGATCTTCAGCAACACAATGAGCCAGCGAAAAATCTTTAGGCTGTTGAAATAAGTCACCATCAATCTCGTTAACAACTTTAAATTCAGTTACTTTTTTCCAATTTTTTTCCCAATGATCGTAATCTTTATCGAATTCTCTATCTTTATCATATTCTAAGCTATGGTTAAATCTAAAAATGAAAAAAATATATACCAATATTGCAGTGACCTCTAAACAGTTTGTAACACCCTGTATATTATAAATAAAACTCAGATTCAAGTGGGTCATTAAAAAAACTAACGTATTTTATAACTAAATGACAAGCAAAAACCTCTGGGAATTATAAAAAAGTGTAGAAAGAATAAAATAACTTACGAATGTCTAGTATTCTTCCCTTCATTTCCTTTAAAAGATGGATCAGGACCCCTCCAATTCGTATATTCATCACTAATAAACAGAAAGAATTTTAACCATTTTGATAATTCAAAAAAAAAATGTAAAACTTACAAATGTCTAGTCATTTTTCCTTTAGCATTTTTATCAGAAGACTCAGGAAAACTCTTATGTGTATTTTCCCTTTCCATCCTCGGATCCCCAAGTTTTTTTTCATTGTATGGCCTACTTGGTTTCCTAGTATTATTATTATTATTCCAGCTATCCAGAGAAGGATCACTTTCCTGATCCCACGATTCTTTTACGGACGAATCTGTAAAATTTTTAGAATCATCTGTCTCTGCAGTATAATTAATACTGCTCGAGTTATCTCGATTCCTAGAAGAATCACTTTGATCTCTGCTTCCCGACTCTTTTGTAGATGAGCCTGACCAATTTTTTGAACCAGATTTTTCATTTTTCCTATTCTTTGAAGTTTGCCATCCCTTCCTTTCAAATGTTGATGTTTTTCTATTTGTTGAATCATTTTTTCTAGATGTGCTCTCTGGTTCTTGAAAATTATTACTAGTTATACTTGTAGGTTCGTTTGACAAAATAGGATTGTTTCGTTCAAACACATTTTTTTCCTGAAGATTTCCTTTATCAGTACTTAGTGCGCTTTTGGTTGGAGGTCCATAGTAATTCGGTTTCCTTGGCACTGTATTCTGGTTCCTATTAAAATTTTCTGGATATTGTTCCTTAGATCTAGTCTGATTAAATTTTCCCTGGCTCTTATTGTGAGGAAACCTATCTTGTACACCTTTAACTGTTGAATTTTTAGTTAATATTGGTGACTCTTCACCTGACACTAATGAGTTATCAGAATCAGCTGTCTGATAACTGCAATTTTCACTACTATTTTGAACATGGCCACCTTGAATCTTTACATCAATCTTTAATTCAATATTTACTTCATGTTTAGTCACTTCAGGAACTGATTGCAAAATGTTATTACTGGTTTCACTGCAACCAGCATTACCTGAAAATTATCAGTAGCAATAAATATAAATGAAAGTATTGTTTAATCTACAAACATAAAATAAGTACCTACTTGTCTGTAGGTATGTATTTTATCAGAATAACAAAAATGTACTTACCAATAATGGTAAATGATTTTGCTAATGGATTTAATTGAGATTTTGCAAGTACTGTATTTGGTGATGCCCCTATGAAACTGAATTTGGGAGGTGTTTCATGTGCGTCTGTTGCCACGGAATCAGTAGGATCGACGGTTACTAAACTTTCTACAAAAATAACAGACATTCTCAGTGAAATCACACAATATTTCACAATTTACTTACCAGTACTTTCATCAGGATTGCTGCTAGATATATTTAACGATGATCCATCAGTATCCTGAACTTCTTCTTTAGTATCTGGCTCTTTTATTGCGATATCTGCAACCTTTTCCAAAGCTTGGGCTTGGCTTTCTTCAGACTTAGCTTTTAGAGCTTTTTCAGCATTTCTCTTTGATTTATTCTTTCTCCCCATTTTAAACTAGATTATGAAGCTTATGAATTAATACAAAGACTAAAAATAAATACCGAATATTGTTTTATTAATTAAAATGAACCTATCTTTTTCAATCAATGCTTTACCTGTGAACTTCTGGGAACCCCACGACGAGACGATCGCCACGATGACTTGGACAGTCAAGCTGATTTAATTATTAAAATAAAAAGTTTCTATGTTCTTATCTGTTCCTATTTCCTATGTCAATCAGCAACACAGTGAAACCAGTGGTGTAAAAATAAATTTAATACAAAATCCTAATCAGATTTAAAAAGGATTTGAAAATAAAAATTCAATTTTTTAGGTTAAGTTGTTTATGATTGATTTTAAAACATGTAGAGGGCGTTGAACAAATATAGATTTCTTTAAAGAACTGCAGATTTCTTTTCGGTAATGTTTGTTAGTTCATATATTTATCGTTAGATGTCAGAAAAGCGGCATTGCTAAAACAGAAATTTACACACTTTGACAATGGTTTACTTCTGCTACTTACTCAGAGAGGGGAATAATGATACTTTTTTATTTATAGGCAACTAGTAATGCAGTCATGACCTTGTTAAATGTCAAAGTTACTGGGACATTTTTCTTTAGATTTTTTAAGGTTAGGAATCATTTAAAAATCTTGTTAAAAATATATATTTTTTCTTATAACAGCCCCTCTAAATAGTTTAACTAGTGTTTAAAACAATTTCTCGTGTTAGAATAAAGGGTAATGTACAATATTAAAGGTCCCAGTAAAATTGTAGCTAAAACCACTAGAAGAGGTTAAGATATTGCGAAACTCTACCAGTTCATTATGATTATTTTCTCCAATTTTAGGTATATCTCAGAGCATAGAGAATTACAAAGACTATGGAAAGAACAAGTTGGTCGACGATGACAATAATATTTGTAACAAGTAAAGCCAAAAGTTTAGATTGTAGAGATATTGTTTTCTAACCTATCAAATGTTTTTTTAGTGTCCCAAAAATAGTTTTCCAAAAAAGGACTGTTCCATGTAGTAATAAGCAAGAAAGTATGACACCAGAACAAGTTGATGTAATCAAATTTATACACGAATGTAAGTATTGGATGTAAAAATATATTTATGAGAAAAAATACACATAGCCCTTTGCAGCATGGTCGACAGTTATTTCTGAGTATGAACAGCAACCAGAGGATAGGAATCACACAGTATGTTTCTTCCAAGAAGAGAATTGTGATAAATTGCAAGACTTCAAACCGTTTGATTTAGAATCTTGGTGGGGAAAAAGATTGTACGCACACATCACATCCTCAACGGAAACCTTAAAAGATTGAATTAGTCGAAAAAAAACTTAGGCAATAAATTTTAGCAAACAAAACAAACTCCAATAAATTTGTATATATTAGCGTGTAAGTGAGTAACATTGTGCAATATATTTTTCTTTGTTTTTAAATGATAAGTATGTATCATTAAATGACACTTTTTAGAAGACTGTAAATTGTACAAAAAATCAACAAGTTGTGCTTTTCTTGTTATTGTACATAATATTAGCGTTGACTGCGTGCTGATAATAAATGATTAAGAAATTGGAATTGCTGTTTTTTTCTGTAATTTTAAATTTTTTTAATCAATTCATTGATAACTTGTTGATAGCATTTGTAATTTGAAGTGATTACATTTTGAAAAGTTTAATGACTTAATTTTAAATGATATTTAATTACTGATACAATTATAACATTAAATGATGTAAAATTAACGTAAATGTTACCTTCACCATATTGTCAACATAAATATTTCTTTTTCCATTATAGGTTTATTATTATTCATAGTATAGTGCATATCTACAATTTCCTGTCTCACAATGTACCGTTTGTGTCGGGGAAGGGATCATAGTTTCATAGTTGTCGATTTTCGAAAGAAATCAGTACATTTATTTTATTTCGTATATTTTTCATTTTATTGATTTTATGGAAAGCGCTGTTCATTAAAATGTTGTATCCTATGTTATAGGGCTTGTTTCTCTCTACAATTTCCTGTCTCACAATGTACCGTTTGTGTCCAGGAAGGGTTCATAGTTTCATAGATGTCGATTTTCGAAAGAAATCGGTACATTTATTTTATTTGCTTTATTTTTCATTTTATTAATTTTATGGAAAGCACTGTTAGAAACTCAGTACATTTTTCATCAAAATCGAAACGATACATGAAAATTTTAAGGTGCCCGTTTTTCGTGCCATTGAGTTTATCTTGAATTAAAATTCCTTCACCATATTGTCAATAAATTTAACGATATGCCACGGTTATCCCAGCAATATTGCGTTTTATATACAAAATTTAAATACAAATTACATTAGGTTCTAAAGCGATATGTCACACCAACTTTATTTCTTGCAAACCCTATACAGCTTAGTATACCTATACAATATTTCTAAAATCTCAGCTTTTTATAGTACTTTCTGACTCTGTTCTGGATATACGTAGCAGAGCTTTTAAATATTCGACTTCCTGTTGTAACCGGAAGTTCTCATATGCCTGAAGGTTGTTCTTCTTGATCTAAAATTGTAACAAAAATAATACAGTACTTCATTTATACACTGATTAAAAAGAATAAAAAGAAAAAGAAGAAATGATTTCGAAGAAGAAGCGAGAAATAAAGAAAAAGACAAGAACAAAGGAACATAACATCTGCTTGAAGAAAGATTTTCAGATGCGGTATTCGTTAACTTTTTAAACACTTATTCCTCTTTATTATCAGTTAAAGTTGCATATTCTATAGCATATATTCTACGGCTAATACTTTCCGAGATACAGCCGAGAGCAATTATTCTTATTCGGACACCCTGTATACAGGGTGGGCCGAACTGTGTTCCGGAAACTTCGGCAGCATCTTCTGCAGATAAAAGTAAAAAAAAAGTTTTTTTTAAGATAAAAGTGAGTAAAAAAGTTCGTTTAAATGTATATCCCAAAATGTTTAGTTTCGGAGATACAGGGTGTAGAAGTTTCATTTTTATTTCAATTTTTTCCAAATAATATCTGAAATCACGCCAATATTTGGATAAAAATTGGTGCCTGAGTGTTTTTTGACATGAGAAATTTGATTTTGATGTCAATATGACTCCTATTTGTAAATTTTTCTTCGAAGAAACGTTGATAAAACAGTTTCTGCTGAGCTTTTGGCACAAAAACATTTCAAATTTGTGATTTCAGTATAATAACTATTTTTAGTCAAACTTTTTTTAACTATTTAGTCAAGATGTTTAATTTATGGCAATGATGAACTGGTAATGATAATTTAGATTTCAAATATCTCCCCAACAAGCAAAATTTATTGCTGGAACATTGCCAAAACTTCGCAAAGCAAGGTGTAACATTGCTTTTTTCATTGTAGGGATGTTTATGCAAGGTGGCAGGATAGCTTAATCTTCCGCCAAATAACATTGCAATTCAAGGTTGAAAAAAATAATGTTGATGCAAGTTTATTAAAACCTTGCCACAACCTCGTGAGAACATTTCACAATATTATTGAAACGTTGCTAATGTAACGTTCAAGAAAGTACTAATTTGAGATGTATTAGCAATATTGTTAATTTTACGTCAATACAATATTGGTGAAGAAAACATGTTTTAATCACCATTCAAAAACAATGTTTCTGTAGCAAGGTTTCATCAATCACGACACAACGGTTAGAAATCAACATTACCAAGCAAACTGTTTGGAGATTGACTGCAATGTTGCAAATGGAATGTGAGGTTTTTTGCTTGGTGGGTCGAGAACCATTACTCGTAGCGATTTTTACCAAAAGACCTTTTTTACGTTAAAAAGAACTCCCTAAATGTATATTTTTTACAGAATAATTTTATACAAGTAGAAACAAAAAGTTATTACTCTTCAAACCAGTTTAAAAATATGTAGGTGGCGCCCTCTACAAGTAGAAGTCATAGTGACATAAAAATCAAGCTTCTCTGTTCAAAAAACTCCCACACACCACACTCATCACTCCCAAACACCAATTTTCATCCAAATATTGCTAAATATAATATATAAATACGTTGCTTCAGAAATAATTTGGGAAAAATCTCAGAAATGAGAAAGAATTTTGAAAAATGTATCTCAGAAACTAAGCATTTTAGGACATACATTTATACGAACTTTTTTACTTATTTTTATCTGCAGAAGTTGCCGGAATACAGTTCGGACCACCCTGTATATTATACAAATTTCACCTCTTGATATAGTAGTCCTTTTTGACTGTCCTGTGCCAATTTCAACTGCACGTTAATGAATTCGTTCTTCTCCATACACTGTCTATGCAGAACAGCTATAAGTCTGTTGTGAATCACGCCCAATGCCTGCCGCTCTTTTTTAAACCTGCTGATTTTTTCACGTTTTCTCCTCTTCACTTCAGCCAATTTTCTTTCTAGATTTCCCACTTTTTCCAAGGAATTTTCCAGGTCTAATGTCAGATTTCGTATTCTCTCTTGAAGAGTGTTGTTCAGTTGTTCGAATCTTTTTATTTCGGCGTTTCTACTTTCTAACAGTTGTAGTAATGTGTCATGGGTTTGCGCTAGCTCGTCGTATCTTAAAATAACCTAGAGTCAGATTAGATTTACTAGGGTGTGACTCTGAAAGTATTTTAAAAATTATGAACCACTAAAGGATAATAATATATACAGGGTGAGTTTCCTACGATGTTCTCTATGGGTATCTCGGAAACTACTGAAGATAGAGAGTCGGTTAAATGGGGAAAGAATTGCTGTTTTGTGGGGTCATAAATATGCGCCTTTCGGATTTTTGAAAAAGTTCATGGTTTATATTTCGAAAAAAAAAACAAATTTTGGCAATTTTAAAACTTGCCCCTAATTCCATTATAATCTATTTTAGACAAAATGTTTTTTGAGATAAAAGTTGTAAAACAGATATCTAATGGGTTTGTATTTTCTGATTTTTTTCTAAAGCCTGTCATTTTTGATATATGACACAAATGGAAACCATAGTTGGCCATGACTTCATAAAAATCGCTATTTTTTAAGCTTTTCAGCGATATAAGGTATAGTATGTCTATTTCTAAAAATTATGAGTTATAGCTAATTCTTATCTTTCTTGACTAATTTAGTTGGTATGGTATTCTTATTCTGTTATGATTTATAACTTATAAAAAGACCTAATATATTATTAAACGATTCTTTACAATTTACATTACGCAAACTAAGACTTAAAAAAATAATATCACTACCCCATACACTTTAATTTATTTTAGAAAATATTCTCCGGTGTCTCTATCTTCGAGTGCTTCTCTTAATTCATCGAGGAGGCCCATGCAATTGGTCTACCTCTTCCGATCCCTGAGTTTGCATAATTATGATATAAATAATTTTTAACATTTCTTTCATTATGGGAGGTGTCAAAATGAAAGTCATGTTAGAATCACTCTATTGATGCGCGACTATCTAAATTTAACTTTTCTTGAAAATGTCTTGAAAACCATTCTCTAAAAAACGTAAGTAACGTTCACCGGTCAATGTATCCTCGAAAATGCATGACCAAGAAAAGTTGAACCAATAATCCTACACGCTTTTCTTCATTTAAAAAAATCATATTTACAATTTTTGTTTATTTTAATTTACAAAGTTTGGACTTCCCCCAGGAGATGCAAGACCTTGTCGTTGGTGGGGAAGCTCCTTGTCAGGTGCTGGGGGGAATCCCCCCTAGCACTTGGCTTGGTCTAAGAAGCATCTTGTTGTGAACATACATTTAATATGGTTATATGTATATGTATATTCGACAAATTGTATAAAATATTATTTTTACCCTTATTCTACGGCTATGCCTAAAGAATTTAAGGTACGAAAAATACCATCAACATTATTATTCTTCTCAGAAAGATGGGTGATGCAAATAAACAGAACCATTACCTAGCGACTAATGGGAACACTATGAGATCTGGTAATAATAGTAATAAAAACATCACCGGTGAAGCAACACTGGGAACAGTAACAATGAAAGTTCCAAGGGGCCAAACCCAAAGAGAACTACAGGAGAGGTGGCTGACACTTGCGTGAGACCATCCTCCGCAAGTGGCATACAAGTTACCACCTCCTCCAAGGGTCGGGAGCCTACCTCCTACCTCTAAACCCAACAGGCGACACAAGCTACCGTTTCGTCTACCCGGCCTGGGTCGTAGCCCCTCGACTGTGAAGGACACGGGTCTCCGTAGGAAGTCCTGGGACTGTATGATGAGTTATAACTCAAGAAAGGGGGGCACAATAAATCTCTAAGGTCGCAGAGATTAACCCCCCTCCCACTTATTCTAAATTCTAAATTCTACAAAGTTTGGATGTGACAGTTTTGCATTTCTGAAGGCAACAACGATTGAATTTGTTTCCACGGCTAACTAAGTGAAATTGTTTTAAAATGATAAGAATTGGCTATAACTCTACTAGCTTATATCGCCGAAAATCTTAAAATATGGCGCTTTTTATGATGTCATGGCCAACTATGGTTTCCATTTAAAAAAACATATGTTTGTGTCATATGTCAAAAATGACAGGCTTTAGAAAAAAACGGAGGACGCAGTCTCATTAAGGGTGTGATTATCTACAACTTATATCTGAAAACATTTTGTCTAAAATAGATTATAATAGAATTAGGGACAATTTTTAAAATAGCCAAAGTTTTCTTTTCGAAATATCTAGTAAGCCATGAACTTTTTCAAAAATCAAAAAGGCGCATATTTATGACCTAACAAAACTGCAATTCTTTCGCCATTTAACCGACCCTCTCTCTTCAGTAGTTTCCGAGATAAGCACAGAGAACATCGTAGAAAACTCGATCACCCTGTATACAAAAAGATACCAATGCCTAGTCTTTGCAGATGATTTAGTTATCTTAGCAAGAGACTGGATAGAGCTGAATCGGTGACCAAAATACTAGAAAATCAAGCGCAAAAAGTAAGCTTACTGTTTAATGTGCTTACTATATGTATGTCTATGCTTACTTGTATTGAAGATGCACCAAGCTCATAGTGGACACTCCAAGGCTGGTTCCTGAAGCTCTTGCTTGACTTTTATCTAAAGATAATTCAGTACTATTGAGTGTATGGAAAGTGCTGTTACTTTGTAATCAAACTATTCGGGAACATTATTATACAGGGTGGTCCGGACTGTATTCCGGAAACTTCGGCAGCATGTTCTGCTTTCTGCTGATAAAAATAAGTCAAAAAGTTCGTATAAATGTATGTCCTAAAATGCTTATTTTCGGAGATACAGGGTGTACAAAATTTCATTTTTATTTTCACTTTGTTCAAACAATTTCTAAAGTAATGTCAATATTTGGATGAAATTTGGAGCCTGGGTGTTTTTTGGCATAAGAAATTTGATTTTGATGTCAATATGACTGCTATTTGTAGGGGGCGCCACCTACATGTGTTTTAACTGTTTTGAAGGGTTATAACTTTTCGTCCGTACCTACTGAGTGAAAAAATATACATTTCCGTGAAGTTTTTAGGATATTTAGAATGGAAATAGTCAATACATGTCATTATTGACTAAAAATAAATATGTTGAGTACATTGTTACTTGATTGAAATGATAAGTTTGGGAACATTTTATTTTTTTAAATTAATCATAAATTTTTCTTCGAAAAAATGATGATAAAACAGTTTCTATTGAACTTTTGGCACAAAAACATTTCAAATTTATGATTTCAGTCTAATAACTATTTAGTCAACAAGTTTAATAATGTCAATGATGACATGTATTGATAATTTCGATTCCAAATATCTCGAGAACCATTACTCGTAGCGATTTTTACCAAGAGACCTTTTTTACTTAAGAAAACGTCGTAGATGTATATTTTTAACTCACTAGTTTTATACAGGTGCAGACGAAAAGTTATTACTCTTCAAACTAGTTAAAGAATATGTAGATAGCGCCTTCTACAAGTAGGAGCCATATTGACCTCAAAATAAAATTTCTCATGTCAAAAAACTACTAGACACCAATTTTCATCCAAATATTGACGTTACTTCAGAAATTATTTGGAAAAAATCGAAATAAAAATTAAACTTCTACACCCTGTATCTCCGAAACCAAGCATTTTAGGACATATATTTATATGAACTTTTTTACTTATTTTTATCTGCAGAATATGCTGCCCAAGTTTTTGGAATACAGTTCGAACCACCCTGTATTGTGACTTACTTTTTACAACTTATCGATATGAAAACTAAAAAGTGTACTTTTTTAATCATTACCGGTACATTAAAGCAAGTATCTAAGTTTGTATCTGCTTAAATCATATTTTCTTGACTAAAAAACTAGACACAATGGAGAGGGCAAAATCTACCCACCTAGAAGCTGTTCGTTTTCATGCATAACCTCCTCCAACCGATGTCTCAATCCGGACATTTTAAGCGAATCACTCCGCACTTCGAACAGCAATCTCCTATCCTGCCCCAGGGACTCTGTCAAGCTGAATTCGAGACTTTTCACCACTTTGCGCAATTTCCTTATCTTGTTTTTCAGTTGGTGGTTCGGCTGCGCTAGTGCGCTGCAGGGTGTCCTCTAAAAACCACCCCTAGTTAGCGTGTATCTCGCTGATTGCTAGCGTCAGGTGAATACTTAAGTGAATACAATTAGGTCTTACTTTGGAAAGTTGGTGGGACATATCATTCCTCGGTTCGAGGTTCCGTTGTACGTATTTGAGATTTGAGAGGGTTTCTAATGTTAGTTTTAATGTTCATTTGAAGTTACATTTGTTGTCAAACTGACGTTACTGATGAAGCGTTTGAAAGAGTGGAATTTTCGCCATGTGTGTCACTATCAAGAGAAGGTTAATAACTTGTTTATTAAGCTTCTCTCTGATTACTATTAGAACAGTATTGATTCAGTATTCTTGTGTACAGTTAATAAAAATGAAAGAGTATAAACGCTTTTTGATTTACAACTTAAATAAATACAGGGTGGTCCGAATTGTATTGCGGAAGTTTCGGTAGCATATTCTGCACATTTAAATAAGTAAAAAAGTTTGTATAAATGTGTATCCTAAAATGATTAGTTTCGGAGATACAGGGTGTAGAAGTGTCATTTTTATTTCGATTTTTGGCAAATAATTTCTGAAGTAACGTGATGAAAATTGTTTGATTTTGATGTCAATATGACGCCTGATGACGCCTACTTGTAGAGGGCGCCACCTACATATTTTTTAACTGGTTTAACGAGTAATAACTTTTCGTCTGTACCTGTATTAAACTAGACACCAATTTTCATCCAAAAATATTGACGTTACTTCAGAAATTATTTGGAAAAAATCGAAATAAAAATGCATCTTCTACACTCTGGATCTCCGAAACTAAACATTTTAGGACATACATTTATACGAACTTTCTTACTTATTTTTATCTGCAGAATATGCTGCCGAAGTTTCCGGAATACAGTCCGGACCACCCTGTATAATTATTCTTAGATTAAGTCAAACTCTTTCTAAAAGTGGCAAATTTAGGTTAGTATAATAAAAACAACAATCGCTATAAACAAATATGTATATTTAGCAGTTCTAGTCATTTTGTTTCTCAATTTACATTAAATACGCAATTTCTTAAACCACAATTAAAAATAATAAATTACACTAAAAACAATTAATAAAAACTTTACAATACTTAAAAATTATTCTAAATTCTAGCAGTTCTAACTCAACACTGCCCTCGTGTGACTTTTTTCAGCGTTAATAAAATCCTCCACTCCAGTTCCTGCACTAAGATTCTTCTCAAATTCTACTAAAGATGGCGTAAGCGACGATAAGTTGCTTTCTGCCTCTACCTTACCAGCTTGTTCTTGTTTATCTCTTATACTGAATTCTTGTAATATTCTCATCAAACTCGAATGATCATTATCATCTGGTTTAGATTCATTCGGAGCTACAGTTACTTCATCTTTAGAGATTCTTTTAATTGGGACCGGTGGTTTGAAGGTAGCTTCTTCTTTCCTGGTCGCTTCAGGACTCGGGGGAGGTGTTAAACAGACCTCTTCAGGTGCTTTTCTTATCACAGCCGCTTGTTGGGAACCTTTCTGAGACGCTTTCTTCACCAGGGACTCTGTCCTCCTCACTGGAGGTTTAGGTCTGGTTGTTTCAATATCTTCTTCTTTAACTATCAAGCCCTCAATACCAGATAACACATCACTGTCTGCTTTTGGAGGTGGTTTTCTGGGTCTGGGAAGACTAGCTTCTTTGGGATTGTAGTGTTCTATGAGTCCCAGGTCCCAGTCTTCAAGAGGACCGAAAGAATCATCTGATGTGACGTCTTCTTTCTTCTCAACTTTAGGCTGCTGTTTCAGTTTCTTCAGTTGTTGTGGTAATAATGAACCAAAGCTTCTACAGCGAGAGATATACGAATCTAAACGTCCAGTAGATGAACTGGAATTGAGTTTCTTGCTTCCAGGCCCTTGAAGACTTAGTCTGGATGAATTTAAACCTGTCGTAGAGGAAGATTTTTCTTCTGGATTTGCAACAGATAGTTTTAAATCGGTATAGTTGGGTAAAGAGATCACAGATAAGTTTTTCTTTCGCTTATCTTTATCTGAATCTATGTTCTTTGCTGGATTATGGTGATGGTGGTCTCTGTTATGATTTTTTTCGTCACATTCACATTGTGGGCAGACGTAGTTAATTTTTTTCTTCACTAATATAGGTTCTTCAACAGGTTTTTGGTTGTTCTTGTCACCTTGGAGGGCTTGCAGTCCACTTCTGGCGATCCTTTCGATTTTTTCTCTGATGTTGGTACCCTTGTGACTGTTTTTTCGAGGGGGTGGCGTTGGGGTTCCATGTTCGTTATCGAAAATAAGGCTGAGTTTTGGGTTTCTTAGATGGACGTGGTCTTCATCCTTGGAGGGAACTACTAGATCCACTTCGGTCCAATCTGACGATTTCGATATGGGTTTCGTGTAGAATATGCTATCTCCTTTTCGATTCAGTTCGTTTTCAGACCTGAAAGAAAAAAAAATATTATAGTATAATGCTCTAATATTTAATTTAACCGTTCAAAACATTTAAATATTTCGAATAATTTTAATTTAGTGTCAAACATATCATTGCCAGAACAGAAATTGAACATTTTTTCGTGTGATATATGTTTAGAATTTCCTGTACAAAAACAAAATAAATTATGCGTGTCCAAGCGTTTTCCCGAAAGACTAACCGTTTTTTAAATAACAAATACTGTAATATTTGAAGAGCGTTTTCACCCTCTTGGAATTTGAGATTCGAGAAACCCCTCCTTATCGAACCTCTACACCCCACAGTCAATCCGTTTGCCAAAAATCAGCTTTAAACGTAAAGCAGTTTAAGCAGAATCGTGATTACTCAATGGTCATATTTTATGAAACACCCTGTATAAATTTTTAAAAAATCTTAAAATATGTAAAACAACAAAATAAAATATACGTGTTTAAGAGTTTTTCACCGTTTTTTAAATAAAAAATATTCTAATATTTGAGGTGTGGTTTCACCCCCTTAGAATTCGAGTTTCGAAACTTTGATTATAATACGTCCAGTATATGAAAAAAATATACACGATTGATTTTATTTTCAATCCAAATTAAATAAAAAATGCATGTGAACACCCTGTAAATACATATACATATGGAAAATAAAAATTAATAATTATTTAAAGAACATAAATTATTGTCATAAACTATTTTGAATTCTTATATATATATATACTATGTTACAATGATTATTAACAATCTCACCTTGCTTGTTTCTGGTTCAGATGAGATTCTGACTTCCATGCAGTGGGTTTCAACTGTAACAATAAAAAATAATCCATTAGAATAAATTTTCCAAAGTCGAATAACTAACAGTGTTACTAGAGTAAAACAACTCATTGTTATTGTGCATTTAAAATTAGATATGGTTGGTGTATAAACATAATGCAGCTGAATTTAGAGTTGAATTCCTTGTATAATAAACATTTACAGCTTTTAGACGTTTTAGTAAAAACGAGAATTAGTTCTGTTTTATTATTTCCGTTTGCTTATGTTTTGATTGGTAAGTTTAAGTTAAAACAAATGTAATCGTAATATGTAGCACAAGACATATTATATTCATATGTTTCTTGAAAAAGCCTGGGTATTTTGCCCCTGAAAAAATTGATTTTTGCCAAACATTTTTCAAGAAATGAGCCCGTCAGTAAAGTTATTATTTAAGACGTAGATTATTAAATTTTCTTTTGACATGTGTATAATATAGATGCCATAAAATTTGTTTATATCAGTGCCAAGTGATAATAAAAATTACTCAAAAATATCTAGTTCAATTTTTTTCTGGAAATATACAGGGTGTCCCAGAAATAAGTGCAAATATTTTAAGAGTAAGTGGTACATCTCGAGAAAAGTAACATATTTTCTCTTCTTAGTTTTTCAAATAAGTCCAAAATAACGGAGTTATTTTACTTTGAAAATTTCCAAAAAAAATTATTTTTTTCTCAAATTTTGAGAACCACTGGATCTTTTCTGCATTTTTTTTTCTTGTAAATTTAACCTACTACCTATGTTGCCATATTATCGACAAATTAAGTTTTTTAACTAAAAACTAAAAAAAAACTCCAAAAATTTTTTCAAAAAATTCCGAATTTTCAAAATTTTTTTTTCGCGAAAAAACCTAATAGGCGTGTTTCAGGGGTTAAACTATACTACCAGTTAAAATACTTGCACTTATTTCTGGGACACCTTGTATAAGTATACACAGTGTGGTCCCTTTTTTGAGAACCGTTTAAAGAAAAGTAGATTGTTGATTGAATGGGAATCTATTGATTCTCTTGAATCTATTGAATGGGAATCTATTGAGTATCTATTGTGTCCCCTTTTCTTGAGTTTTTTTTTTGGGTGAGAAGGAAAAAAATCTTGCATAAGACACCCAAAGTTGGGTAGTGCCGGATTCCTACCGGCTAAAAAAACCCTCCTGCAACTACCACTTTATACTGGAATCTGCTCTCACATTGCGGCGTCATTAATTTACATTTTTTTTTTGGCTAAATTCAGATTTTTGTCTCATATCATTATAATATGGTGATGTTAAAATTGATGGTGATGATAGATGAAAAAAAGTGGCTTAAAAAGAGATATTATTTATTGATGTAACATCCTTTTTCCCAGCTCTGTCTTTAGTGTTATTATTTTTTAGAGCCATAACCCTCCTGTTAATATACAGGGTGAGTCTTCTTCTTCTTAAGGTGCCGTGCAGATTCCTGCGTAGGCGTTCATCTTTTTCTTTCTCATCAGATGGTTCTGTTAACTGCCGCGACTTGGAGTGCTTGGAAGTCCTGTATGCCTGTCCAATGACGAATATTTCTCAGCCAGGATAGCTTCCTTCGTCCTATCCCCCTTTTACCCCCCTCTATTTTACCCTGGAGAATCAGACGTTAAAAGTGATAGCGTTCTCCACGTAGTATGTGTCCCAAATAGGCTATTTTCCTCTTCTTGATGATTTCGAAGAGTTCACGTTGTTCCAGACCAGCTCTTCTGAGAATGTCTTCATTCCTAACACGGTCGACCCAGGGCACTCTTAGCATTCGTCGTAGGGTCCACATTTCGAAGGCTTCAATTCGGTTTATTGTTGCTACCTTCAGTGTCCATGCTTCCACACCATTCTGTATCTAAGGCCGAAGTTCAAATTTCTATCTGTGAGAAATCTTCGCAGTCTCAGAAAAGTAGATCTTGCTTGTTCGATCCTGCATTTGATCTCCTGATCCGGATCCCACGTCTCGTTAACCATGCATCCCAAATATTTAAATTGTGTAACCTGCATGATGACCTCTCCATTTAAGTAAATTCTGGTGTTCGGAATATTGTTTCTGCTAACAGCCATAAATTTAGTTTTTGTAGTATTTATGTTTAAACCCAGTCTTTGACTTTCACTGTTAACCTTATTTAGAAGGATTTGGAGATCATTTGCATTGTCTGCCAATATCACTGTGTCATCCGCATATCGGATATTATTAATTGGAATACCATTTATTTTCAAACCAATGGGACTATCGGAGATTGACTCAGTGAATGCTCTTTCCACATATAAATTGAACAACATTGGAGATAGAATACACACATAGGGTGAGTCTTAAGTAATTGCAAATATTTTCAGGGCTGGTACACAGCCTGGTAGATCTCGATAAAATAAACATATTTGCTTTTTACCGTTTTTCAAATAAGTCCAAAATAACCAACTTATTTTACTTTGAAAATTTCTCCAAAAAAAATAATTCTAATTGCTTAAATTTTGAGAACCACTGGATCTTTTTGGGGTTTTCTTTCTTGTAAATTTAATCTACTACCTATGTTGCCATATTATCAAGAAATTTTGGTTTTTAATAAAAAACTAAAAAAAAATCCAAAAAATTCTAAATTTAAAAAAAAAAATCACGAAAAAAACTTATAACCGTGTTTCTGGGGTCGAAAAATATTTGCACTTATTTAGGACTTACCCTGTATAACTTGAGCTAGAGAAAAATCAATTATAACATACAAGGTGTAATAATTGAGAATGACGTGTTATAATTACTATCACTATGTGAAATTGACTTTGTCCAAAGTGAAATTGATTGAACAAGTAAAAACTTTCATAAAATTATTAATTTTATAAGTAAATATAAATTGTTTTTTTTTTTGTCTAAACAGATTAATATTAATTATACAGACTTAAGTAAGTATTAATATATTTTTTGTTGCAGAATTTAAATACCTATCTGGATTTTTTTTTGTTAAAAATAAATCTAAATGTATTTAATAATAATAAAACATGAAAAATTAGATGTTAGATATTCTCCATATAATTTTTTAGAATTGACTTGGAACAGTAAAAGGTAGAGATTTTATTATCGAATATCCTTTACACATAATAAATACTGATTTATTAACTTTTACAAGCATTAAATAAATTCCTCGTTTTATGACGCCATTACAGAAAACAATATAAATGTTTAATTTTTCCCATGAAAAAGTATTGAATTCTTATGAATATTGAAACAAATTTCCTCATTACGTTATTTTATTTTTACCGGTTTATTTTGACAGTTAGAAATAATCTATAATCACATTCTCAAAGAGATTTTTTATAGCTTCATCTTTTTTATGACTTTCTTATTTTTTATGACGATTTTTTCAGAGTTTTTATTTCCTTTTTTTTTAATTGTGTCCTCCTAAATGCATTGATGCATCCAATGACATCTAAATAAAGATTTTTTAGATGTCATTGGATATATCCCATTTACCAAAAAATGTGTGTGCACCAAGAACGGTAAACTAATAGGATTACTCATCCTCATAAGACGTACGTTCGCCTCTTCCCGCGCTTCAGCTGACAGTTGTGACGTCATTGTAGTCCTTGTGTGTATTATTGGTTGCCAATGGTAAACTTGAAAATAACAGCTGATAAATTTTGAGTTAATTATTTTGTCGATTTTAAATGTGAAAAAGCTGTTTTTAAAGTTTTTAGAGCTATAGAGTGTATAAATACTTTCATTTTGTATTGTGAAGTGTGACTAAGTGTAAAGAATGTCTGCAAAAGGTGATTCTGGTAACTGCTGTTCTTAAAAATGCATTATCCGAGTATTTAATACGATTTATACAGTTAATTTTCTATACTGCATACATATAAGGTGTTTAAATGAATAAACTAAATAATGAATATTTTGCATATGGCAACCAATAATACACACACTATCATGACAAGGACTACAATCACGTCACAAAGCGAAGAGTTTCACGCAGCTAGCAGACACTTTCGGCTGAATGAGCAGTCCTATTAGGTTAACTGTTCTTGTGTGTGCACTATGTGCGCATATTTCAAGTAAAACTTTTTTTTCCTAGGCATCGATCACCAGGATCATTAGCCATATATACAACTCGTCATTGTTAACAATGCAATTACACGGATCTATCTCAATATCCTCAAGGGTTTCACTCTTACAAGGACAATTCATTCATAATTTAAAAATCTACATTGACATAAAAATTTCAAATTGAGTGACAAAGGATCAAAAAACTAAACACAAAAAAAGTAGAGATACAAAAAACAAACACACAAGGAAAATAGATAATTATTTACATCACAGTATCACAGTTGGATTAGAGTATCACAGTGAAACTTCTTACTGACAGCTATTAAACTTGAAAGACATGTTTGAAAAATGCTGCTTGTTTTTTACACACACATATCGAATATATCCGTATACCTATCTTTCTGACATATTGCCTCTTATGGGAATATTCTTTACTTACAATTTCAAAAAACTCCACTGATATATTATGCAAATACAATTTTCTAAACATTTTTTTTATAAAAATCTTTCAAACGTTTTCAAACGAACTTTGTATTCATATATTTCGAACAGGCAATATAAATATTTCAATAAAAATACTTTCATCGTCTATTTATATTCTAGCGACGTTTCACTTTTACAAAGAGCTGTTTTCAATTTTATTTGTTTACCATTACCATACTGTACGCATATGCACGTGTAGCACGAGCTGTTTTAATTGGATTGCATTATAGAAAAAACTAGTTTATGTAAAAAAATAGAAGAATTTTCCTTATTTATAGAACTTTCTTATTAGATTTCCCGGTAGAAATGGTTGAGTAAATTTATATACTTAGTAGTATACATATAAACAGACATTGAAATAAGAATATTTTTGCAAGTGGCTGTTGGTTAAGAAATAATAATACGAATGTCTTAAATCTTACAAAAATGTTCTGATAAATAGGTATACCGGGTGTTGCTCAAAAGTAGCTATCCCCTATAACTTT